AGCACCCTTTGTGGGAGGAGACCACCAGGTTGAGCTCATCATGGGTTTTTCTTTTGAGAAATATTAGCTCATTTCAGGTCTACAGCTACTTGTAATACTTTCACACCGCTTGTCGTCTTGCATTTCACGCGAATTGAAAGTCGCCGACCTCGACGGAATGGCAGGAAAAATGAAAAACAAAAGGTCAGAATCAGATTGCATCAGGTTCTAAAGAAATCTCTTCTTGGGATTTTTCGTTGTTAAACGTGGTCTCCACATGTATTACAAAAGAACCAGAGATCATCATCATCAACATCATCTTCATAATACGGGGTGTATTGTGATACTGCAAGCACTTTGTGACGCAATTTGATTCTGAATAGATGACGTCAGCAGCACCGGTGGCTGTAACAAAGTTCAGTTGCATGACATTTAATGGGCTCTAGGGATGTTAATAAAAGTTTGAGATCGGAATAATAATGCAATATTAAGGTATAGCCTTTTACTTTTACAGAAATAATTAAATATCGATCTTTTGTTGATTATGAAAAGATTTTTTGTCAATTAACAATTCATTTCATGTATATTAGCAAACGATAGCTATCGGTATAAGTCAAAGATATCCTAAAGATCCTAGTTTTCATCCATATTAATCGATTACAACTGCGATAAACTATAAAAGTAGACTAAATAACATTAAGAACTAACTAAAACTTATGATTTATGCTTTTCTTTAAAGGATAATCATTGCATTAATATATTTATATTATTATCTGCTATTCTTTTTACATACTGAACCTAAAACCAGACTTTGTATCGACACTAGATCCTTATCGAGTAATTACTGAACAAAGTAAACAGCACTAAAGTCAATAACTGTAATCACCAGACTTTTTCAGGTCATCTGTGTCCTTTGTTCAATTTTTTCGTGCTTTGAGCCAGGTCACGGGACCATCGCCAGAGCTATGAGCTACCATAAACTATAGACCAGACCAGATCGACCGATAGACACGCAGCACAGCAGCGGGTGCCTCAGAGCCTCTAATTAGTACTTAACTGGCTCGAACCGTTCGGTTTGGGCTTGGGATTGGGTGACTGACTGACCAACCGACCGAATGACGTTATAGTATCGATTCTGACGTCAATTGTTTGAAAATTGCGGTGCTCATTGTCAATGCAATTAGAGGTATTGAACGAATAGATCATGATATGACCAGAGGTGGAAAACGATGCCTAGCACTTACTTAAGCATTAGTTATCGATACTTTTGACAGACCTCCAGAACGAACCTTGAAGAAATCGCTTTGGACATATGTGATTCCAGCCCAGAGATCATGTAAGAGATCATGGGGAAAGACCTGGCCAAGGCACGTGGCCATAACACGCTTTTTGTATGCCAAAGAAGATAAACACCTTGAGTTTAAGCCCGATGTTTACCCATCCTGTAGACGATTCTGATGTATTTATTATGCTATCATCAATGTGGTACTCTTATCTACCAATTGTCTGGATGTCTTGGAAAAGTAAATTATTTAATACTATTCTTCTGTTGGGACTTGTTTTCCCACTTCATTCCAGTCCAGGCCAGAAACTCCCCACACTTGCACAAATATCGGTCGTAAAAACCCGCCTAAAGCAAATGTGTTTTCACATTTTTTTCTCATATTTTTTTTTTTATCTTATCTGTCATGCTTTTTATGGTCTTGTTTATGGGTTCTGCATTTTGTTTTTCACAAAAAAAAATGTCGAAAAATATATAAAGCCAACACGCCGGAGGCTCGACAAAAGCCAAGCCATTTCGATCCTCACATTGAACGAAAATAAGGCTCCATAAATGTCATTAAGTCATTAAGTTGTCTTAACATTTCAACTTCTCATGGTTATCTTGTTGTTTTTCACAACTTTTTCCTTGATTGTTAGGAAATTTTGGGCTTTATGATTTCCGATTTGCGAAGAAAGCTGATTGAGAAACACCACAAAAGCCTTTTTATGGGTCTTTGTTAATATTTGTAAAGAGAAATGATAAATGGGGTGATGGGGTTAACAATTATAAATTGGTTATTTATTTATCAAAAGTTCAACAAATAATGCGTAAAGGCTCCATGGCATACCGATCCCTATAATCATAAACTATATAGAGGAGGTTCTATCCCAAGGTTTTGCTTACATCTCTTACCTTGGACTAGAGTGTACAAATATTACTAAAGTCTAGTCTCTGGCCATTTCAGCTGATAAGTATTATTATTATTATGCTATATTGTTTGTGCCAGTTCAAATCAATTATTAAATATTAGTATAACCTAAAAACCTTATCTACAGACTCGAAGTATGGGGAGCGTACGTATCATAGGCGCCAAGTCTTCTATTGTTTTTATATTTTTTCTTTCTGTACATTTTATTGCCTCTATTTGGTATTTGTTTTCTTCATCGATTAAGAAGAAATATATATATAAAGTCATAGAGATTAGCATAGAATTTGGAGCGTGTGAGTGGCTGTCATGTATTCCTTATAGAGTATATATTGATAATACAAACTCTCTCTGAACAAAAGCACAAATGTCTTTGATAATCATTAAATACAAAACAAAGAAAAACAATGACGTCATTCAGATCTTGTTGCCTTGATTGATAAGTGATATAAAAGCAAATAAGAATTATTGTTTAAGGAAGCAAAAAATTATACACTTCCGCCCACTGAAAAAGGGTCTTGCCTCATTTATTATTTGTTTTGCTTTATTTTTATGTACTTTTGCGGGCATTTGTAAAACAGGAAAATACTGTCACTGGCGGTCATCTCGCAGAGACTTGCTGCAAATAAATTACATTTTTATTTGACAAGCCTTTGTCTAAAAAAAAAAGAAAAAGAAATTCAGTTCTTTCTCCGCCCCATTTCAATGCTAACGTGACTCAAGTCAAGAGACCGCAGACCGCAGCAATCCGTAATCCGCAATATGTCTGCTCATTTTCCCTACGTGACAACTCAGCTGAATGGGTTTAAGAAAATATTGTATATATATTCAGCGAAAGGAGATCAAAAAAGAGGAAGTGTCCTAAAATATGAATGATATGCGACATCTGCTGGGGGTTAGAGAACTTTTCCCGAAAATGCGGCTACACCTGGTGAGAAAATGTAAAAAGGAAATCATGCCTTAAAGTGGGATCTTGTTTTCAATTTATGAAATTCTAAAATATGAAAAGATAATGAAAGGCGAAGCTTTGTCTGGCAAAAAGCCGCCCAAAAGTCAATACCATTTCGGTGATTGCGTGTTGAGTAATTATAATAATTATCGCAATGAAAACAAGCACACAATTCATATACATTTGTACTCACATTTGTGTTGTGTTGCCTTTATTTGCTCATGAATTTTCAAACAATTTATGGCTTTTTTGAAGTGTGGCCGAAGAGATAAGCGTGAAACAGTCTGCCATTTTTTGTAGTAAACAAGACAAAAAAAAAGCCTGATAAGCCAGCAAAGGAAGGGAGCTCATAAAAATATCACACACATATAAAATTTAATATTTCTTCTATCCCCATTCAAGGTCAAAAGCAACCATAACAGAGTAGAGAAGTTAAATGCATAAATTCTGAGGCACAAACAAACAGTTAAGACTCGGGAAATGCCTGTGGGGAAAATACTCGTACTTTCACAAAGAGAGAAAAACAAGAGGGAAAACGTTTCTGTATAGAAAGGAATTTGAAAAGAAAAATAAACAGAAAAAAGAAGAGAATCGAAATGAAATGCGTTGGTTGTGGCCCAAAGAAAGTGGCAGCGAGAGCAATTCAATTGACCCAAATGACCATTATGGGTGGCAGGCAAGCAGCTCTCAGCTTCAAGCAACTGCAACTGCCTTTTGCAATTGCCACACAGAGGCGGCAGCGGCACCATCTCTCAATTGGATTTCGTGGAAAAGGAAAAGTTGATTGACTTTAAATGAGGCAAAATCAAAAAGCATGCAACCGGCAGTAACAAGTAGCTAGCGATAAATGTGTCATCAAGTTCCGCTTGGAATTATTTATTAGCTACGAAGCTACGCATAATAAATAAAAGATGGTGAAGATTTACCGAAGAATCTTTTTAATAAATTCATAAAAACAGGATTTTCCTCTTACAATAAGACTGGGTTAACCCATTTAAGCTTATTGTATAGAATTAAATACAAATACACTTTAATCAAATCCTGATTGCACTAACTTCAAGTGTATTAGGGTTGGCAACAATCTTTGCAACAATAAACTTTGCTTTTCAGCCATCAGAAATCATTGAAACTTTTATTTCAATCGATTACATTAACTCAATACAGCTCGATTGCTCGATTAGATAGCCCAAAAACACTTGAGACTCAATTTGATTATTCGCCCTAAGTCATGAATATATCAAATGGCTTTCCTCCATTCATAACTATCTGCCCCAGTTCATTTCAGTTCATTGAAAACCGAGAAGACTTGATGAAAAACCAATTGTCATCATCTTCATCTTCTTGGATTGTTCACATTGTTTTTGAGAGGCTTTTAATTGGGTCTAAATATAGAATCCACCGACCATTGAAATGCATGCCATCTCAGCAATTGAACTAAATTTGTACTTCATGAACGAGGAGGGCCGCCACTTGATTGAATTGTATCTTTTTTTCCAGCCACTCGAGCATCTTTCGATGGGCAAAAAGATACTTGTTCTTGGTTGTTCAGAGACTTGAGGAGACCTTGCCTAATCGAGATTAAGAACTGACCATCAAGAGTACGCAATCTTTGGGTTCAAAAAAACAACGTCTGTTTTCACGGTCAAAAGTTCAAAAAGCGTTTAAGTGACGTCTCCTGCTTTAGTTGTTCCTTTTTGGTCTTACGCTTGATAAGAATTATTTTTTTATGACAACTTTGGCCCATTATAAAGATTACGGATTTCGTGTTTTTATTCGCATTCTTATCATTTTGACGCTGTGTACTTTTTATGACTGACTGACGGTCGTATTTATAAATGTCTGATATAAAACAATTAAGAAGTGAGCTGAATCGTTGAACTTACCATTGCCTGTTCGATTTTGTTGTCAATCGCAACTGCACTTGTTCCAGATGCACTGCAATAAATTAATAGAAAATATAGAGATTAGTTATAAAATCAAATATAAATTTTGAAGCAAAATCGTTAGGCCTCTTAAATCTTTTATTTAATAGCCCCATCATCTTCACCCATTTACCGCTCAATTAAAAACAAATCTTATAATCGTTAATGTTGCCATTTTTTTGTTTTTGAACGCCTCAAGACTTTTGCGCCCAGACGAAACCAAAGAAAAAACCTTCAAATGGCAGTTATTTTTGGCCATTTGACCTTGCTGATGCCAGACAACAAATTGAGGTCAATATGACAATAAAGCTTCCTCGACTTAAAGTTGCCAAAAATAAAGAAATAAAGTGCCCGATCACCGAATAAAACACGCAAATCTCCCCATCTAATTACAATGCCAAATGAGCAATTAAATTGTCATAAGACCAAAGTGAAAGATGAATGGCACGGAAAGTCTTCACTGAATTTAAATCCAATATAATGAGTTTTTATGCAACCAAGCGAGTTTTATTCAAATACTCCTCGAATGGATCAATCAAAAACAGTTTGGCATATTTCCTTAATTGCAGGCAAAAAGTGCAAATTATAGCATTGTTCGTTCGTTCGATCGATCGATCGATTGGCATTAAATTACGCAACCATGGCGAAAACTAGAAAATGCGCCAAACTATCAATAAAAGCCAAACCAGCAATTTTTGCAAACCCATATTACATAAAAGAAGTTTGTGGTGTATAAAGTAAAATTATAAACTGGATTTTTCGTCTTTATGTTCTTAACTTTAGCTTATTCTGCAGCTTTTAACGTTCACCTTGAGGGTTTTAAACGAGATTCAAATGTTGCCGGTAAACGAAGTTATTGCCGGTTTTTTGTGAGACTGGCTTTTGCATAGACCCCCTCAAGGACGTTTTAAAAAAACTAAAATGCTCAAATGATTTTTAGCTTTTTACCATTCTCCCATTATTTAAATTTATCATTATCTTAGATTCTAATAAACTACATTTGAAATTCGTACAATGAACTCCTCAGACAACCTACATATATTTTCTTTCAGTTCATGGAATTGTAAATGTATTTCTTTAAATCGATTTGGGGCTTTTTTTGCTGCCTATCATTTATCAAACCATATGGGTTTCATTTTGTGGTTCAAGAATTCTTGCCACACACAATAATTTCTAATTATAGAAATGGCAAGATATTGTGGCCAAAGTGTGTCATCAAATTAGATGGCTTTAATGATAGTTATAACATGTGTAACACAGGAGTAGTGACTCAGTTTCATAGGTTACTCATTGAAAGTTGCATAAAATCATTAAATAATTTGAACTTGAAATAAGAAATTAATTGATTAAGTTATTAGACTTGTATATTATAAAGAACTACAAATAAAAAAGTAAATATAGAGTGTGATGTTTTACAACATTCATGGTTAAATTATTTATTTAACTTTTGGTTATTTTTTAAATATTCTCTTGTTGTTCAACAAATTCCTTATTTGAGAGAAAAACAATTACCACACCCATAATAAATATATACTTTCATGATTAACACATCATCCTGCTGCTGCTTCTGTTGATATTTTTGCTGAAATGCATTCCATTTTAAATTGGTTGAGATGGAATAATAACAACATTTCGGATGCAAGAAAATGGATTTGCGGCGTGCAAAATAATTAAAGAGCCGGCAATAAAGAATGAAAAGAGGGTTTCGTTTTTTATTGAAATCTGTTGGGTCGTGGAAACTTGTGATTTTACCCTCTGTGTGTGTGACTCAGGCCGACAAGGACGAAAGGCAAAAAGTTTTTTAACCTGCGCCAGTCAGAGGAGTCAAGTCAAGGGAACGGGAACAGAGTTTATGACTTTCTATATAATCTTGAAAGTAAAAGTATTGCCATTGCATCCAGACAGATCGAGTGCAATGACTCATGTCGTGACTTTTGTTCTCTTTCTTTGGGCTATAGCGAAAAAAAATACAAAAGCCAGAGAAATAAAATAAAATAAAATAACAATTATTCCACCAATGTCATTGCGAACAACGGTCAATGGCGTTTTTATTTAAACGGGCGGAGTTTTTTTCGGGGAAAATCCCTGTATTTCGCATGGCAATTAACTTTAATTCATTCGATAATTATTATGTGAGAGAACAAATTCAACAAATAACACATTCAATTATATAAAGGTGAAAATCAACAGTTTTAAATGGAAATTCGGTTAATGGGAGTGACATAAAAACACATTTTAACCGAAAAGTGAGGAAGAACAATTATTTAATTAAATGTTAAGAGGATTATTTTAAAATGTAAAAGGAATAAATTCGAAAATTTAAATGGTTTACATTAAAATGTTCATTATTATTTCCCCAAAGAACTTGTAATTTCTTCGTAGCTGGATGATGCTGTTCATGATTAGAGAAAAGCTTATTGCTTATCATCTCACCAGGTGTTATCACCAGGTAGCCACAACAAAAATAAAACGAAACACCGAAACAAAGTTTCCCAAACAGCTCAAACGCGAAACAAATCACATATAAAGAAAGGCAATAATGAACACCTAATATATGTAAGTGCGTAAGCAGCCAAAAAAAACACGCAATGTGCAAAAAAAAATAAAGTACACATTTCATTATACAAAAGCACCCAAAAAAACAACCAAAACAAAATAAGAAAAAGTAAGGAAAGAAAAGTGCAAAGTTTATTAAGGTTCAAGCGCCGAAATCGTAAGCTCATAAAAATAACCATGATGTCACTTATTTATTTACTTTATTTTTCCCCCGCTGCTATGCTTTTGTGTTAATTTAAAGATTATTTATTCGCATATTTTGCCATATGATTTAAGTCGGATTTTTTGTTTACTTTGCACGATCTAGTTTTGGGTTTTATTTATGAGATCACGTGATTAAAGTTTCATGTTTTCTTAAACAAAAAAAAAATAATAATAAAGGAAAAATGTGTCAGCGACAAAAAACAAAAAGAAAATATAAATGCAAAGTTAACGAAAACCGGTGGAAGAAAGAATCATATAATAATACATTTATTTCAGCTTTTATTAATATTGATTCTCATGTACTTTTCATAACTCACACTTTAAATCCTACTACTATTTCTGCTCTACCTAATCTGAAACTTGTTGATCATTATTATTGTTTATTTCTTTGTTATTATTTTGTTTTCATTTTTTTTCAGACGGCGCCACCTCGAACGTGCCACTTTTTCTTTTCAAAATGCACTTGTGTTTTGACTGGCAATTGCAGAAAATTCGAATTACACTAGCTTTGCATTTTGTTTAGTATCCAAATCAAATTGAATTGCAATTAATTGAATCCAAATCCGATCTGTGAATGAAACTCTGGCCAATTGCCAGGTTAATCCCTTGAGGCATGTCACTGCACTTTGGCATTTTCTCCCATTGGCTATTTTCAGGATATTTTCACTAAAATATTTTTTGTTTTTTGTTTGTTTGATTTTGCGCATTTCCGAAATTTTAAACTTGCGGATGTTGTCGTTTCTCCCTAAAATAACAAATTGCTATTCGAAGCACTTTTTGCCTGCACTCTGCTGACTTGACAAAATTAAACACAATATAGTGTATATGGTGTGTGTGTAAAAAACAGATATCGGAATTGCTGTCATGCTGTTGTTTTGCTGATGTAAGCGAACCCACGGAAATTCGCCAAGAGAACTTGGCATATACATATATTTGTGCCACATCTTCCTCCCAAATTCTCGATTCCAACAAATGATTTTCCGTACCATTTTGTAAAGTGTTTATTTGCATATGAGGAGGGTCTCAAGAGCCGGGAAGCAACAGTGAGTTTTCCTATTCGATTTTAGGGGAGACACATAGTAGTGTTTACGACTCCAGGAAGTTGTTGGCGGGCAAAAACAAAACACATCGTAAATATTGCTTGGCAAAAAACGAAGAAAATAAACAGCCAGATAAACGGGAAGTCAATTGTAACAATGTTTTTAGGGGCAAGAATTAAAAATGTTATGATTATTTATTTGATGGGTAAATAGTAAAAATGTATTGAAATATATATTGAGCATTTAATAAGAAAAAAAGTTAACTAAGCTTTACAAAATATTATTTTTAATGCTTGGCAAGTGTGGCAGAGTAAGGTATTTTGTTAAGACTTTATTTGCATAAAGAATCTAAAACATTATCTTGCTTTCTAATACATATTCTTTGTGCTGCTTTCATCTATTTAGGATATATATTATATATTCACACCCCAGATAACAATGAATGCTTTTTCGACAAAGCAAACAAAGAGCAACAAAGCGTAACTATAAAAAATAAATGATGAGGAAAAAAATAAAATAAAGAAAAACACACAGGCATCATTTGGCCCTGACCTAATTAAAATCGAAATGATAAATATAAGCAAAAAAAATGCCTTTATATAGAAACGGGCAACAAAAAGGGTTCAAAACATTCGCCTGGGCTTAAAACTGACTTAAACAGAGTGTCAAGAGATACAAAACAACAAAAAAAGAGTAAATTAAAGTCTTGTTCAAGTCCAAGACCGGTTCGTTTCGCCGCCTTATTGTAGGAAGCCTTAAAGTGTCTGAAAAGCCAGCAGAAAGGCGGCAAAACCACCGAAGAAATGTCACCAACTTGGCAGGCTTCACAGCCGGAGGAGGCGCGTGCTCCTCCAGTGCCCGCTCCTCCTCCTCCTCCTCCTCCTTTCCCGGATTCCCCGCATTCCCGGTTCACAAACTAATGCAACTTTTTTTTTTTTTTGCAACAAGTTGCCTAACTGGACGTAACGGACAAAAAACAAAAATGAGGTCAGAGCAAAAAAAAAAATATATAGTATTTTATCCAACTAACGATGCGTTGGCCCGTTTACCGATGATGTAAGGCCCACCAAACACAGGAAGCGGCCACAAGTAACCAGTCTTGAACATATAATTCGATTATACAGTACCAATTTGATGTCTGCTTTGGATATGACATGGGATTTAGAGAAGAAAATCAATAAGAGATAAGACTTGGAAGTCTTGTGGTAAATTTATGTTTAAGATATCGAAATAAAACGATTTTGTTTACGGAAATATAAAATATTTCGTACAGGAACTAATACTACAAGTATCATCAAGCTAAAGTCCTTAAAGAATGTATTTCCCAAGGGTTTTATAAGATAATTTAATCAATTTTCCTTATCTGGAACCTATCGCCATCAAATCCTATAAATACACTACCAACATCAACCCTTTATGAAACTCTTATCCAATCCAAACTTCATTTACCAATATAATTAGAGTGCTTGGTGCCGCCGTCTTATCCAACCGATAAATATTATTGTGTGTATAAGAAATCAACCGCAGACCATCGATATTTATTCTCGTTATACTCAACTTAGCACCTTGCAAGTCAATTTGCCATCGGATGTGTTGCGGTATTCCACAAAAAAGAGCAACAAACAAGTCTCAAGCATCTGGGTTGCTAGGCAATAATATAATATAATATAGGAGGTATTATGGATCATGTCTGGGGTTTTCGCTAATTGGTTTCCTAAGCTGAGAATCACATCATCTGTCGGATCGGAAGTGTTTATTTCTGAGCATCAATTTTAAGGCACCTTGTCAATTGTCACTTGTCTGAAGTTTAAGTATTCCATTTTTTTGTCATAAATTCACACAAATTTGCTTAAATTAGCTGCCAACCAATTTGCTAGTTTACAAAAAATAGACATTGGAGACGAGCCTAAAATTAGTCACCAATCATCTTCAGGTGATGTAATAAGATAAAAAAAAGTGTGAGATATGCTTGTATAATTTTAAGGAAGTTATTACGAAAAACAACACTCCTCAGTGGTCTAAAAATGGAAGTAAAAGATTTCCTCTCCTTTAAATAATTCCATTGTGTTATCTGAGGTGGTAAAGCTTAAAATATGTACTAAAATCTGTTTAAAAAAATTCCCATGCTTATAGAGACTATCTACCAAGAGAGCAAAAATAGCTTTATTGCCATATAAACAGATCCATAAAATGTACATTATATATTTGCTTAATTTAATCATACTCTCCTCTCTGGTTAAAGCCAGACTAAAAACAATATAATCTCAAAAAGATAACTGAGGTTTGTCAACAGCTGTGTAAGGGAATGGCTACTGTTTTCCCTAGAGAAAATCCCTAGCCAAATAGGCTTTATCATGGGATGACCTCCTCCACATCAGATCGTTATCGTCTTGTTACCTAAAATATATATATCTGAACATTGCTTTCTTCAATTAAAAGCCTTACAAAAACTGCAAAAATAATTCTACAATTTATTTTGTAACTATAATATTATCTATTCGATATACCGATAACCCATTACTATCGCATACTCACTCTGGCAGAAAATAATCAATATATTTCATAACGACTTCGCGAACGGGATCCTGTTGCTTGCCCGAAATACTTGGATACATATCGAAATCCATTTTGACAATGATATTATTGTTATTATTATTAATATTGCTGTTGTTGCTGCCTGTTTCTGTTTTCATTATCGATATTACGGTAGTTGAATGCAATTCGTTTACCGTTACTGATATTTGATATTTAATATTTACAGTCTAAGTCTTCAAAGCGATATGTATTTGTTTGACTCAATTTTGATTTGGCAATTTTATTAATATTTTTTGTTTGTATTTGTTTGCTGAGCTCAAAGCTGATGGGAATTTTTGTTTTTCCTCTCACCGCTGGTGCTTCTTCTTATTAGATATACACACATTAACACACGGTGGACTGGTTTCTCTGTGTGTGCAAACAACAGTTAATTGGGTTCTCTCTATTTTTCCCAGCTTCCCTCGCAATGAGTTTCACTTGCAATTACACACAAACATACAACATGTAGCTAAGGTGTGCTTGGTTTTTCAGGCCTTTCGGTAGGCCTCTTTTTAAAAATGTTTTTAACACTAAAAACAAACAAATCAACGAACTGGGGAGCTCTTTTATTTGTGTGCTGAGAGAGGGTAAAAATTCGACCGCTCTCTCTCTCTCACTCTCTTGCTGAATTCGTGTTCTTTTGGTTATTCAGCAACTCCGCCTCTCTCTCTCTGACTCTCACTATTTGATCTCGCTCTCTCGCTCACTGAGTGAAAATGTTAAAAATGCGCGCGAGACGATTTTTTCGCCTTTTCCTCCGGGGATTTTAATATTAATTGAAGTGCCTGGCGAACACTTTTGGCAATTGTTTAGCCAAATTTTAGTAAACAGTTTCCCTAGCCTTTGTTCTTTTTCGTTTGAAACTTTTTCTATCGCTTTTTCGCTCGCACACACGAACACAGATTGCAACACACAGACTCGTAAACAGAAAACGAACTTTTTTCAAGGCGGTCTTCGCCCAAAATCACACAATTTAACAATCGAGCAACGGAATAAAATAAAAGCCCAAGCGACAAAAGCGATGCAAAGATTTAACTTTGGCTTCTAGGGGATTTTCGTGTTTGCATGGAAAGAGCTACTCAACATAACTGAAAATGTTGACGTCGCCGCCGCTGTTGTTGGCCGCAGTCACCGACGCAATCGCTGGCTCTGCTGCAGAGAGCAAGAGAGCTGAACATGCAGCAGCAAAAACAACAAAAACAAAGATCCCAGGTTACAGCAGCTTTTGGTGGTGGCTTTCTTGAAGTTTCGAAGTTGGGTGGAGTGGGGGAGAGAGTGCTCAAGAGAGCAAGAGCACTGGAGTTGTTTTTGCATTACTGAAGTTGGCTGGCAAAAAAAGGCAGAGCGAGAGAGAGAGAGAGAGGAAGCTAAAGCAAAGCTTAGTAGTTAAAGTAAAGCTTGCAATTAGAGGACATTAGATCAATAAATATTATGAAGAGGAAAAGTTGTATTGCTATGTTGCAGTTGTATTTGATTTAAACATTCTGGTTATAAGATAAGTTATCTTATTTATAATAATACAAAATTATGTGACCTGACAAAGTTAAAACATTGTACAAGCTTTAAAGTTATACTTTATGCTTTATGTTTATACTTTTTCATTGTTTTTAATTTGTAAAATTAAATACACCTTATTTCAAGACAGAGTTACAGAGAATGCTCATGATAAAGGGCTTCACTGTACCCGCTGAGGTGTGTTTGTTGTCTTTATTACGCTTGAAACCCTTTATCGAGAGCGATTCGATACAATATTCCCATGGCCGGTTGCGCGTTCCACGTTTTCGGTTGGCTCGTGTTGAAAGCAAACAAAAAAACGCATGAAAAATAAACAAACAAGAGATATAAACACACAGAAAAAACATGGGGGCAAAAAAGGAAAAACAGACAAAAACACAGCAGACAAACGAATCTTGCATTAATTTATACTGCAGAGAGAGCAGAGATACAAACTCCCGCTCTCTCCCACACACACACACATTAAAGGTAGAAAAGCAACATGGCTGCTTTTTCAAAAGCTTTTTAGCTGAATTCCAGATACAGAGAGAAAGAGAAACCATACAACATTTTTGTCAGCACAAGAGAGCAAGAGAGTGCTAGACCCAGAGAGGGGGAGAGCGTGCTCATGGTGTAACGGCAAAAGAACTTTTGAAATTAATGTAAAATCCAACAAATCTTTATTTTCTAAAAATCTGTTCTTTTCGTAAATTTGTAACCTCGGAATTTGGGTTTTGTTGCTCTAGGTTTCTTTGCTTGGAAAGAAATGTTATCACAGGTGAAGCGATGCAACAGCAGCATTAGCATCATCTATGCCACTTGACTATGACAAGGTGCCACGTTGAAGGCTCAATAACCCGTGTGCTAACTGTATAATAGTAACCCACCATCGTCATTCCACCACAACCTGCTCCCACCACCCACAAAACCCACCATCCGGCGCCAGAGATTCGATAATTTTATCATGCTGTTGCTTTGCGGGATATGAACGATTTAAATATGTATATTGAATGCGAATCAGCTGATTTTTATTTTGGTCCACAGGGTGGCCGATGACTGTGGGTGGTCTTACTTGGGTTAAACGAGGAAAATGTTCTGAATGGTTCAGTTTTCTCTCTTCAGAATTTATTACAATGATACTATTATTATTATTATGATATCTATCTTTTTTTCTACCTATCTATAGTAAAAACAGGCGGCTTAATCAATAGATAGGCTGCTGTTAGACATAATTCGATAATTCAATGTTTAGAACCTATAAAAACAATAGGATTCGTTCCTAAATGAAACCTTTTCTAACTTTAAAAGTTTTTAATTATTAATATGTATATTATGTACTTATCCGGTTTTCAAGCACTTTTTTCCATGAATATATAAATAACATTTATGTTAAATCAGACTCACCTGCAAAAGAAAAGAGAAATATGCATTAATTAATGATGTCAAGTACAATAAACCTTAAAATTTAATTATAGATATATTTCCGCTTATTCACGCATTTCAAGATCTTCCGCAAGTTTACTAAATTTTTGGTTGCCTTTGGCTTTTTTTTACGACTTTTGCAACACTCCGACGAAAGCCAACGGATTTCGAAATCGCATCAAAATTGTTTGAGAAAATTGGTTATGGTCACGCAATGGAAAACCAAGTAAAGAAAATTCAAAAAATATAGGGGAAAAAAGAGAAAGAAATGTGCGTAACGGTTGCGCTGTAAAATGATGATTTTAGGGGGAGAAATTAATAGTAATATTGGAGAATTTAACACGATATTAAAAAGTCTCAATATGAAAGATATTTGAACATCTGACTGAGTTAGATAAGTTTTCATTGCAACAAATTTCTGCTTTCGAATATACTTTCTTTTCTTATAATATTTTGGTTTTGTAAATGTCTTATAGAATATATTTTGATACTTTTTATAGAGTGACTAAGCTAGGGGCTAATATAGGCCCAGAATAGGTATAATCGCCAGATAAATACATATTGAAAAATTCTCCCACAGTATAATTAATACTTAAAAATAAATTTAATTATCAATGCTGTTGTTATTTTTTCGATGTATCTCATTTACTTCCTCTACATCTGTGCTGACCTGAATTGATCCCATTTACCTTGATTTCCTTAACCCCATTATTTGTATTTAACAATCGTTCCGCTTCGAAGGAAGCCACAAACAAAGTAAAAATCTCAAAAATATGCAAATTACTTGGGCAAATTTGTTGTATATTTTATTTTTGCCTGTTTTTCGCACAGTCAAAATGAGCGTAAATAAATGTTGTCAACAAAAAGTGATATTTGGTATTCATAGCTGGCAACAACAACGACGACGAGCAGCGTGTGCCAAGCCCCATCGAAATTTATAAATATACATTATAATCCAACAAATGTAACAGGGTAGTGTATCCACAAGATACCGCGCTAATGAGTGTTATTTTGCCGTGTGGATTTTATTGGGTAGTAAACAGCTGGGCGGCTGTTGGTTTTTCGCACATAACAACATTAACAACAGGCATATCATTGTGTGAATCGAAATCGGACCACGCCCCAACAATTAGCAACCGAAGGTCCCGGTCCCGGTCCCCCTTCTGCATTTTCGTAAAACCCAAACCCAAAGAGATACGATACGATACGATACGATTCGATCTTACCAGTTGGCAACATGTTGCCAGCCGGATTTAGTTTGGTCGGCACGAAGAAAAAAATACACCAACAATTGTGTAACATAAAACAGTGTCTAACTGTGAACATAAAGATAGATGGATATTTCCAGGCATTGTCTTTTTTGTTGTTGTTATGAAACCCAAGACAACACAACAACACAACAGCACAAAAATGAACAACACAACATTTAATCGCTTGGCTTGAGGCATCATCGTCTAGGCCGCATCTTTGTATACTCTCTTTTTTTACGTGGTACATTTGTTACTATAAATTAAATACTTTAAAGATAAATTTGAAGCCTAAAAATCATTTATTTTTTAGTATATAATTTTAACTCTTAACCATTTCATTTAATATTTAATGTATATAAAATATTAAGCAAGCCCCCTTTAGTTTTGTCAAAATCAAATGCATGCATGGACGAATCCTAGTTTGATAATAAAGAATTATTATTATATTACACAAAGATTGATCTTTTAATAATCTCCAAAAAGTAGAGAATTCAAATCTCGCTATATAAAATCCCTTTAATTTTTCTGCATCCAAAATCGTGAGCTTGGCTCTGCGGTTTTTTTTTGTTTCTTACTTTCATTTTCAGAGTTTTCCAGGCAATGGCAATTTAATGCCAGGCTGCAAGTCATTAGGTGCTGGTGCTGCTGCTGGTGCCTGCACAACGCTAACCCGGCTCGATGCTGCCCCTTGCGACCCGAGTTGGCTGAAAAGCGAAAGGCAAACTCACGTCAAGTTCAACCTTTGACCTCAGGCATCTGCGGCTATGGCTGCGAGGGCGGTGGAGTGTTAAAAGCCCAACAAAAGCAGTTGAACACTGATTAACCACTCGAATGTTTTCCCCCCCTCTAATTTCCACTTGACGTGTCAATACCACATTAATTCGAATCCGAGTGTCAGGATAAAAGTCATTAATAAAATATATATAAAAATATTTTCGGCAGACATTGAGCGATGTATTTGAAGAAGAAATATAAACTGATATCGTAAATGATTTCATCTTACATTTCATTTTAAAATCCCTTTTAATTGGTTTTCTGCTTAAATTCCTTGGAAAATTTCCTCCATCAAATACCGTCACGCATTTTAATTAAATTTATATGCAAATCGGTGGCAAGTGTCCCCACCTTTTAATTTAAATTTAATAAGAGGCACAAACATGTTAAGGCTAACTCTGATGCGGTCTTTTGCCTTTCACTCACGCACTGCGTCGAGAGTCGCACATTGAAAAGATAAATAATGATGTTACTCATACAAAAATAAAGGAAATAAATAATAATGATAAACAAGAAAATTTAAGGGAGAAACCAGCTGGATATTCGGCTTAAAATTGTATTTCTTCTTATATTTGTTACTTATTAAACCGTTTGTACTTGAATTTTAAAACTGATTTGATTTTATTTGCTTTAAAAATGCATCCTCAGTATTTATCCTTCATATATCTTAATGACACTCTTTGGGAGTGGAACCATTAGCCAAACTCTATCCCTTTCATCTTTCAGAAAGTGCGTGTGCATTGGGATTATATCCAATATAGATTCCAAGTATTCATAAATCTTTCAACAATTTGTTTGTTTGATGGTTGACGTCATGTGTTCGTTGGCATCGGCGGCATTCACTGAACATTGAAATGTTTGCACTCTGCGTATTTATCTTTTAATTGAGTCATAAAATCAACGCAGAGCCAAAAAGCGTCGAAAGATGAAAAAGTGGAAATATTTACAGTCAAAATACGTTCAGCAAAGAGCAGTAAAGTGACGTCAAATGGCAAAAATAAACCAAATAAACTGAAAATGAACTCTTTACAAACCCGATGAGAAGAAGAAAAATAAACCAAGGTGGGGAAAACTTAACCAAGCTTGCAAGGTTGTGGTCACACCTCTCCTAAGTGGATTGATTTTCGATTTATATATATTTTT